TAACGAGTGCACGACATGAAAATTTAACTTACCGTGAGGGCACGGGTGTGCAACCCGTAGTTCGTTTGTTTATGCGGTTGGGGAAGGGTGAGGTAGTGATTATGGTGTGCATATGTTTGGTATGTTCGTTGTACACGACTCAAAAAGTGTGTGGGGGGTGTTCCGGATGACGATGTTCATGGGACGCTGGACCCAATTTTCAGCAGGTGCCGCTCCCCACCAATAGACAGCAGAATGTGTGTGTGTGTGTGTAAGAGAGAGAGAGAGAGAGAGAGAGAGAGAGAGAGAGAGAGAGAGAGAGAGAGAGAGAGAGAGAGACCTATAACATTCACCATGTCAGTGGCGGGGAGCACAAGGGCAGGCACTGACCTCCTAAAAAAAAGAGAAACGTAATATGTGATTGAAACACAAAAGTTTTTCCTTTTTGAAATTTGAGTAGAAAGGGTACATGTTGTATTCGAACACAACGCGCACATGTTATATCCGAACTGCTGTTCTATTTGAGAAAAGTGAACCCACACCGTTTCGATTTAGGAATGTTTAAAGCTCAAGGACCGACCTCCTCGGCCTCCTAAGGGCAGCTACTGGTCCTTCGCATGACCCGCCCCTTGCTAAGCCCCGAAACCTCGAAATGCCCACCCTCCCGAACGACCACCGACGTTGAAATTTCAATGACGTTGAAATGTCTTGGAGGGGGGAATTGCAACCTTGACGGGCTGCGAACCGAGCGCTGCGATGCCGTCTTCCACTTCGTGCCTTCGGTCTTTTCTCGTGTTTTGCCAGGGGCACTGGGCTGGTAATAAAAAGGAAAGTTTTTTTTTTTTGGCGCGTGGGAAAATAGCAAGCCTCTGGTGGGCCTCCGACATTTTAGGAGGGCGAAACAAAACGACGTCCGCTGATCCGATTTATCAATGGCAGCCGTCGTCGGGCCCGGTCTCCGAAACTTTAGGAGTTTGGGAAAACGTCCACTTTTCCCTATTTTCCCATGCGCCAAAGGTACTAGGGCACTAGTACCTTTGGCACGTGGGAAAATAGCGGGCCTCTGGTGGGCCTCCGACCTTTTCGGAGGCCGAAACGAAAAGACGGCTGCTGATCCGATTTATCAATGGCAGCCGTCGTCGGGCATGGCCTCCGAAACTTTAGGAGTTTGGGAAAACGTCCACTTTTCCCTATTTTTCCACGCGCCACAGGTACTAGGGATAACTTACAAAATACCCCCTTACGCTGAGATATATATGCCAATATGCTCCTGAAAGATGTGGACAGAGTGGAATGCTTGAATTCATTATGTTATTCCCCTATCAGGCCAATGCACAAATTTGCAATCTGGAGCTCACCGTTTGGACCTGCTCACGTTGCAATGGGGCCTTGGAAAAGTTGGCAAGTAGGGGGCATTTTGCAAATTTGGACAGTTCAGGGTAGGGGTATATTGCAAAGATGGGAGGTCCAACCAAACTAGTGAGGGGTATTTCATTAAAGAAATTTGTCAGAGCGGCTTTCCGCTCTATTCACATTTTCTTAGCGCCATTTTGAAATATATGATATATCTCAACCTATGGGGGTATTTTGAAAATTTTCCAGTTTTCAGAGGTCGCGCGGTGTATGCTCACTCCTATCTCATTGCTACCCGGCTTCCCCCAAACACAACGTACCTTGATAACGCATGTATACAAGTGATCTTTCCGGTTCGGTGCAACCAAAATGAGAGTGCGTTTGTGTTCGTGCGAAGACGAGGAACCGTGCTCCTGCGACGGGAAGGGTGACTACGCTCTTCCCCCGAACATAACGCACCCTAAAAATGAATGTATGCAACCTATATTTCCCGCCATATGCTGCCAAAGAAAGGGCGCGTTGTGTTCGGGCGAAGACGGTAGCCGCGTAGCCGGGGAAAGCGACCGCTCGGCCGTGGTACGGGCTACCAGTCGGTGCCGGTTTGTGGGTCCGGTCGCCGAAAGATTTGACCAGCTCCGAGTTCGAGTCCCATAGAACCACGTGAACATCATGACTTGAGGTCGACCGCGGTGGGAGGGAATCCCGCCGAGCAACGGGCTGGGGGAACAGTGGCCAGCAGCATGGTCTGAATGAAGACCATCCCGCCGCGCTCTGAAGGCGATCCCGCTCCCGCTCCCGCTCCCGCTCCCGCTCCCGCCGCGCCCTCGACGCAATCCCGCCGCGCTCTCAGTGAATCGATCCCACCCAAGCTCTCAAGGCAGTGTGGTACGCGCCACACTGTCGGTGCTGAGGCAAGCAGCTCAAAGCGATCAGCTCAAGCCCTGTCATCAGGGCATCAGGAAGGCAGCAAGCGGGAGCAGAGCCGACAGGAATCCAAATTCTAAGGCGTAGAGTGGAAGCGGGATTGAATGTACAGATTAGATTGAGATACGACTGTAGTTCGTGGGAGAGTCACATCTCTCGGCGGTTTCGATGCCAGTCGATTTGACTGCACAGAGGCGGGAAGGAGGGACAGACTAAGCATCAACCACGTTTTGGGATGCTGACATGCATGCGCTCACACGTACACTACTACGAACACACACACACACACACACACACACACACACACACAGAGACAGAGAGAGAGAGAGAGAGAGAGAGAGAGAGAGAGAGAGAGAGAGAGAGAGAGGCGGCGGCGCAGGTCTGTTACGGATAGAGATCGAGGAACGCGGGGTTTTGCAGTGAAGGTCGTGGCAACGGCTAGGTGATGGTGAGCAATGTAGAGTCCGTTGGTTCGACACGTGTGATGAAGTGCTTGGCGAAGAGTGCGCCGATATCGCAGCGCTGCGTAGCGATCAGCTCAGAAGTTCACCCGTAGCAGGCTGCACTGCCAGCACGGCACGGTGGAGAGAGAGAGAGAGAGAGAGAGAGAGAGAGAGAGAGAGGGGGGGGGGGGGGGGGGGGGGGGGGGGGGGGGGGRGGGAGGGAGCAAGGGGGAGGGTCGCCCGAGGGGCGCGATCAGGTGATGGTTGCACTCACAGTTATTGACGACTATGAGCATTGGGATCGCTGGTTGGAAATTCAGTTGGGAGGGCAAGAGGGCAGTTCGTGCCCCCCGCGGGCAATTTACTGTCGGGAACCGTTTTTTTTCGCTGCATTTGTGCGGTCAACCTCCCGCATCTACTCGTAAGATCTGGGCGTTCAGAGGACTGGATTCCTTGCTCCTTCTTCGTTCCTCTGCTGTCTTTCCCGCTCGAAGGCCGTCCGCCCCCTCTTCCTACCAGATCGTCACATTCAGCTGTGAATGCGTTCGTGTTCTGAAGGAGAAGCAGAGAAGGGAGGGCGCGGCTGCGCGGTAGCCATGTGTATGAGTTAGGTGTGAGGACGCGGAGGGCCGCATTTTGCAAATCGTCCGAAGCCTTGAGGAGGAAGCGTGCGGCTCCGCTTTGTCCGCCAACTGTACGGTCACACACACGCACACACACATATATATATCGTCACAAACAGAACTGCCCGGTAAACCGTAGGCAGAGCGCCTAAGCGAAAAAACCAAAAAAACAAAAAAATCTTAAATTCGTTTTTAATCTTCTTCCTTACAACTCCCCCTGTTCAGAACCTCTTGCGTACAAGGCCGCCCAGAGAGAGAGAGAGAGAGAGAGAGAGAGAGAGATCCGATGTACTCAGCAAAGTTTGTCCGTTTCAGAGGGAGAAAGTGAAACGGAAGGAAGGGTCAGTAAGTCTGGCTTGCTGTGCGTCGCGCAGTCGTTGGCCGTTGTCTTTTACTAAATGGTTAACTGCCTCCTTTCCGTTAGCGCTTTGTCCCCAGCCCCTTCTTCTTTCTCGGTTTATGAGTTTGAATGCCAAGTACACAATTGCCATTTCAGGAGGACATACGGAGTCCGGCAGAAAAAAAGCTGATGGGTAGCAGCAGGGGGAGAGAATATGCTTGACGCTTTTTGTTATTAAAGTAATTCTTTAATTACTTTTTCTGTATCGAGGGAGCCAACAAGGAAGCATGTCATCCATCTAACGAAGAGTTACTGTTCCGGTGCTGCTGCGTGGATGCTGCTGTGTGGACAGTCCTTTGTAAATTCATCTTCTCTTGTGTTGTTCCCATATGGCCGTCATCTCGGTACACAGGCCAAGCCTCTGTGTACTTGCGTGCATCACCTACTGTCAATCAATGCAGAGCAGGGCAATTCAGTGTAATTGCGCGCATCACCTGCTGCGTGGTAATTCTGTGTGATTGCGCGCATCACCTACCGTCAATCAATGCCAAGCAGGGCAATTGAACTCACTATCTCAGCGGTTTTGTCATTAATTTGTTTTCGAAAAGGGGGAGTGCGGGGAGGCAGAGGGCATGCATCTCAACGGCTCGGTCTGCGCCACACCGCTATTACTACCACCGGAACCAGCAGCGCCACATCTGAAGAGCATTCTTGGAAATTAGACGGTCGTTCTATACACCTCCTCCGTGGGGAGGTCCGTTCGTAAGTGAGATCTGTAGATCGATGAGTACGTCGATCGGCGTTTGGAATCGAACTGTTTGCGGGAAGCTGTGATCATCCAATCAACCATCGACCAATCAATCAATCAATCAATCAACCAATCAATCAACCAATCAATCGAATCGTGCGTGCGCCAATCAAGGCAAGTCGGTGGCATATCATATGAACTGTCGGAACGCCAGATCGGTGGACCGAACAACTTAGCGGCACCTTCAGCAGGAGGACTATCAACGAGCACGGGACTTCACTCTCCGGCAACAATGCTCTTCAGTTGGGATCTTCATCATCAATTCAATATCAGCAGCGACGTTGACGACAGCGGATTCTGCAGGAGGGAAAGGTGAATCGTCCGTCTCTATTCTGCCAGCAGATGATGAGTCGTCGTCACAGGAGCCTTCTCTGGCAGCGAAGGGCACGCAGAAGAAGGGGGGGGGCGGGGCCTGTCTCTTATACACATCTAGATGTGTATAAGAGACAGAGAGAGAAGTGGGGGCCGCTGGTATCTCTGAGGGAAAGCGGGAGGCGTGACGGTTGGCGGAACAGAGGTCGAGGAGCCGGGGCAATGGGGAGAGGAGCATTTGCGAGTTGTTAATCCCCCGCCGCGTGCTTCGACGAAGGTGTGCTCTGCGATTAGGCTGTGTATTCTGGGCGTTTCTTCTCCGCCGGCTTCGCGGTTCTTCCCCCGTTCCCATATCTCTCTTTCTCTCGCTCTCGCTATGATCCCACTGCTGATTGATCGAGGAAGATCTACCGTCTTCCCCCGAACATAACGCACCCTGATAATGAATGTATAAATACTACCTTCCCGTCCCGATGCAGTCAAGATGATGGTGCGGTGTGTTCGGGGGAAGAGCCTCTAGGTCAACTCACGCTACGAGACACGCTCTGGTTCCTTTTTTTCTCACAAAGGGTTTCTTTTACTCCGATGCTACTTTTCGGTCGTGCAGATCGACCGAACGTCTATTCTCTCTATCCCTGTTCCTCTTTTCCTCCTCCTCCTCCACCTCCATCTCCTCCTCTTTATTCTGCCCCGTCATCGTTGTTGTTCTCTGCCTGCACGCTGGTGCGCCTTCCCGGGTGTCCTTTTTCATCCTCTCTAATAAGCTTTTTCTTCGGTGGCGGGATCCCTATCTGTTCTCCTTTTCACGTCGTTCGTTCCCGCGCCTATTTTCCCGCGTTGCGCCCTCCAGTGGACGGTGAGCGAGGAAGGGAGGGGGAAGACTGTGGGAGAGGAGAGAGGAGGAGAGGAGAGGGTCCTGTCTTAGTCAGGACACATCGCTTGTTCAGCTAGTTGACAAAGCCGAGTATTGTTGTTGTGGCTGGGAGCGGAGATCGGTGGGCCAAAGTGTAAGGGAGCAGGGGGAAGAGGAGGAGGAGGAGGAGGAGGAGGAGGACAAGGAGAAGGAGACCAGCCGCAATTGGTTCTACAAGGGTCGGTCGAGGGTCTGTCATCTGCGTCAGTGGCGCGCTTGAGAAAACGGAATTTTTCTGACGATTAACGGAATTTTTCTGTCGATTAACGGAATTTTTCTGTCGATTATCACTCTACTGATCAGGAGAAGAAGGGGCACAACAGACACGCAGCACAGGGAAGAACCGGCATACGAAGAAGAAGATGAAGGAGAAGGAGACGTAGAAGAAGAAGAAGAATGAGAGATTGATCGTCAGTGTTGGGATTCCGCTGTGTAGACACGTACAAACTACGCGAGAAACAAGGAGCAAAGAGGACTCAGCTAGCGACTTGCCAAGCTAGCGACCTGCCACGTCAGCAGGAAGTGTGACGGTGACACAAAGAGAAGTCAGCGAGCGGAGAGGGGGGAGCAGGAGGGGGAGAGCAGCGGGGAGGGGGAGGGGTTTGAGTGGGAAGGGTTTCCAGATTAGGCAAAGTGGCGGACCTTAATCATTTAAACTCGCCGCGCCGCGGTTGGCCGCGAGAAGAAGAAGAGAGAGTCCGTTACAATGCCCTGGAAAGGGGTGCCGCCGCCGCCGCCCCTGCATCAGGGATCGTTGAGAGTGCCGCGGCCACGGATAGAGAGTGGAACACCAGCCTAGTCAAGGCGTTTTTAGCCTGTCTGTTGCTGGCGCTCTTTCTGCCAGAGATTCCGTTGCCGTTAATCTTCGCGGTGGGAATCCCGATCTCCTGTCGGAACCTCATTTGGGACGCGGTGGCAAAGGGCGCGAGAGCGGTGGGCGCCGCGCTCGGGGTCGTGGCGGGGCGGGCCGCGTGCAGCATTCGGGCGATGGGCAACAAGAGATCGAGACCAGTGACTACCGACGGGGCTGGGGTAAGTGTCAGTGCGTGTCCGTGTGTGTGTGTCTATGTGTTTGTGTCTGTGTATGTGTTTGTGTGTGTGTGGGTTGTGTGTGTTGTGTTCTGTGTGAGTGTTTTGTGTGTGTATGCCTGTGGTGTGTGTGTGTGTGTGTGTGTGTGTGTGTGTGTGTGTGTGTGTGTGTGTGTGAACGCGAAACAAATCCGGATCCTGCTTAAGGATACCGAGCAAACGAATCTTTTTTGCCCTGCGTGTGAAATGAAATACGGAAATAGTAGTAGTGATAATAGGAAGGAGAATGACAAGAATGATAAGAATGATAATAATATGATTGCTAATTAGTAGATTTGCTGATTAACGTGCACATCCTGTGCGGGCTGTTCTGGAAACTCTCTCCTCGCCTGTGTTGTGAATCCCCTGCCTCTCCGGATGTCTTGCCCCGCATGCCGCATGTGTGTGGGAGCTCGCTCTCTCGTGGTCGATAGACTTGGTGCATGAATCTTGTCAGAGGTGAAGAGGGGTTGGCAGGACCAGAGCCGGGGAAGGGGGATCGGCACGGGGGGTTTGGGGGGCCGGGGGGTTGGGGGGATTGTCTGCCGCCCTACCCACGGCCGAGGGACACAGGAACGAAGCCGCGGAACGCGGATTCGGCGTCTTCGTGCACGGAGCACACCCACACGCACACTCTGTGTGTGTGTGTGTGAGAGAGAGAGAGAGAGAGAGAGAGAGAGAGAGAGGAAACATGAAGGAAGGCGAATCGACGCTGCGTGAGAGGGAGAGGGAAGAAGAGTGTAATCCGTGTACGTGGCGAGCAGAGAAGCTCTCCATAGAGAGGAGCATCGAGAGGGGGAAGTTGAGACTTGAGATGTGTGGGACAATAGGATTGAGAGGAGTATCTGTGTGGGGTAAAGTGTGATTGGACATGTGTGGGAGAAAAGGAGTTGGGAGAAGATTGTGTGTGACACACTCGTGGCGGGAGGGGGAGAGGGGAGGGGAGGGGAGGGGAGGTGAGGCGAGGAGCGGGAAGGGGAGGAGCGGGTGGATACTCGGTTGAAAATGACTCGAGAGTGGGAAGGGAATTCATCTGGCGAGATCTGATATGATGTGGTATAGCTTTTTTTTTGGGGAAAAAAAACCTTCCGGTAAGGTAAAGGATCGTATATATCGATTTTTTCCAGAAAAAAACACTAAGGTAAAGGATCGTTCGTATATATCGACGGTCACGGGATGTCGTTGGAAGAGAGAGGGGCGGTTACAGTTGAGTAGGTTGTTATCTTTACCGTCTTCCGTCGAATAGAACGCACGGTCGTTGGGCCCCGTGTGGGTTCTTGTCTTTCATCGCTACTGCCTACATATGCCTCCCTCCCTCCCTCCCTCCCTCTCTCTTTTCCCCCCCGCCTTCCCCGCTTCGTCAGCGTGTGACGTTGGCAGCGGACGGTCTCCCACCTCGATATTATATAGAGCAATTATTGTAATTTCTAGTTATTAATATTTTTAAAGGGGTGACAACCTTGACATATCATTGTGGAACTGACAGGCCTGAGGTAATGCAAGAATTTCATTCATCTAGTTCCATCTGGATTCGATATAATGTCTGCATTTCGACAATTCATGGGTGTACCAGCTGAGCTAGGCCTGTTGGGAGATCAATCAATTAGACTCTGACTCGATCAATTAACGGATAGATCAATCAAGCGATCAGTCTATGAATCAGTCAATGAATGAATCAAGCAAGCAAGCAAGCAAGCAATCAACGAATCAATGGATCAATCAATCAAGCGATCAGTCGATCAGTAGATCGGTCAACCAATCAATCGGTCAATCAATCAATCAATCAATCAATCACCGGATCAATGGATCAATGAATCAAGAGATTAGTCAATGAATCAATCAAACAAATTAGTCGACCCAACCAACCCGAGTGAATCCTGACTAATCAGGAAACCAATCGACCAATCGAGTGATCAATCAATCAGTGGATCAATCAATGGGTCATTCAATCAACTGGTCAATCGTGATTGATCAGGCAACCAATCGACCAATCGACTGATAAATCAGGCAACCAATCGACCAATCGAATTCGACCGGTCAAGCAATCGGCCAGGCAATCAACCAGTTAGTCATCCAAGGCGTAATCAATCCATCAATTAGTGTTCTCTTCCATCGAACTATATACCTGCCTAGCCAATCAGTCTATCAGTTTTCTTTTTGCCTACCAGTTACTTTATGGTTCGATCAATCAATCAATCAATCAATCAATCAATCAATCAATCCCTCTGTGAATTATAAAAATAAGCGATTGGACCACATTCCTACATTTATGGGGAGTAAAAGGTAAAGGAACGGGAGCGGGGGCCGTGACGGACTATTTCGTCGGAGTTTCACCGACTTATCAGGAGGCTGTATGTCATCTATTTATCTGGCTACGGTTACAGTCCCTAGTTTTTGGTTCCTGCTTCCTCCTCTCTCGCTTTTCTACCCTGCGGCTCACCGCGCAGTTTTTCAACACGATGGGCCTTCGCTCCACTACTCACCAAAGGTGCTAATGAGAATGAATCTTCCCTCTGGAACATGGGAAGATACACTGGCATATGTTCTGTTTTTTGTGCGTTTGGTGAGTGGTGGAGTGAGGCCGTTGTCTTCGGAAGCGGCGCGGTGAAAAAAAAAAAACACGAAAAGAACGGCGCGGTGAATCGTAGGCGGAAAGGGAGAGGAACCCGTGGACAGGTGAAGTACAGACCCAAGTTTGAATGCTGATGGCCGTTGATGAATGCAATGATATGTATATATATTCCATCTGGTGTGGGTGAGTGATAGTCTACTTTGATTTTGGTTAAGGTAGATTATCATTTACAGTGTAATCAGTGAGGGGATT